TTATTTTTGAGAGACACAGTGTGAGCGGGGGAGGGGCAGAGAGAGAGACAGAAAGACACAGAATCTAAAGAGGCTCCAGGCTCTGAGCTGTCAGCACAGAGCCCGACACGGGGTTCGAACTCACAGGCCGTGAGATCATGATCTGAGCCGAAGTCAGACGCATAAACGACTGAGCCACCCAGGCACCCCAAATGGTCTCTTTCTTAAGTAAGATGTGACAATTAATGATCCCTAAACATCAGGATCATTTCTTATACCAAGGGCAAGAAAAAGATACTTACAGACTTTCTGATGTCTTTCGAAGAGAGATCGATCAATTTCTTGTTCATAGACCATTCTTCATCAGATTCCATTATGGCTTTCTAAGAAATAGCCATTTATTAATGAAAAAATAGCTTATAAGCAAACACAAAGAGACTGTTTAAAAATAAAGTAATACAGTGAATTAATCACAGATACAGTATTCATGGTAAGTGGTTCATTATTTAAAATGGGTTAAGGCTTTAATTCGTTATTTAAAATTGGACCTTAATTTTCTTTAAAGTCCTATCTTTAGGAAAAAGGAAATATTATTTACTCATTCTTAATTCTTGTACTAACTTCAGCCCAACTCTACACCACAAATACAATCCTTAATAAGCCTAAGCAATTTAATTTAAACGTAAGTTTGTGAACATAAAAGTTCACAACTTCCTTATCCCATTCATAGAAACCTACTCAAATAAATTTGTTTAGTTTTACTGCCCTTTTCGCAAAAGAGTAATTTCTGACAACCAAGTACTTGAACTATTTGGCCCTATAACAAAGAAGTAAAAATGAAGGGGAAAAATACATAGATATGGCATTGTAAGACCTCCGAGCCTAAGCAACAGAACTAGTATTTATGGTAAAGAAATATTTAATAGAAAAACCAGGATGATGAGTATCAAGTACTCTCATTTTTGTACAGTTGTCATCCTTAATGAAGCAAATTTTAAACATAAAATTAGCATTCAAATAAGCACAGTTTAAAAGCATCAGATACACTGCTGGTCCATATTTAAAAGGCATATGGGGCACTGGGGCTGATACTATAACGTAGCACATTCAGTATAAAACTGAAGGCAAATCAAATAAAAGGTTTAGGGTAGAAAAGTGACACACCATTCTAAGTGCTGACATTTCTGTCACCCAACATGAGCAACAGTGGCTGCTTACATTCCTATTACCTCAATGCCTGTGGTCACAATCACCCAAGACTCTATGGAGGAGATACAAAAAAAAGAAAGAAAAAAAAAAATGAAGAAAAGTATAATAATCTCTTTCCCAACTGATTTTGCTTAACACACAACTGGCAAGTTGGCTCTTTCTCCTACTTTACTAGTATATTTTTTAAAATCAAATAATCAAATTGTTTTTAGAAATCTGTAGAGAGAAAGCGTATTTTCACCACCTCATTAACCTCAACAAGTCTCACCATCCTTTGTACTGGGTTGTCCAGTCCACGAGTAAACTCTCCCATCCTGTATCGTCTAAATGTTGCACGGGAAAATCTCCGGGCATCATTTCATAAAACACTGCCTCCATTTTTCACTTTACATGTTACTATTTCATATACGTTTCTACACATGCATTTATATTAGCCTATAAATTATAATGTATTCAGCTCAGCCTCAAAACCATGCTATCTTGTAAAAGCTGCCTGAATATTATAATGACACTTAACTGATTAAAAACTCTAGTAATTATGTCCAAAACCGTATGTCAAGGTTAGATACTAGTTTCTTCTTACAAATAGCATCATGAGGTATTAAATACTAAAAGAACAGTAACTTGTCTCAGCAATTGTAACATGGACTATTTGTATGTAACTCTCTCCAGCTCTTGTGAATTTCGGTGAGTTTTCTAGAATTACGACTATAATTTTGACCGTAAAGGACTTCAAGGTAAAACCCTGATTTTTCATTTTAGAACTGAAAAATTAAAATAGAAATCATAAACTGCCATTCAACAGTATATTCATACTTACAAATAAGCGTGCTTTTTTTTTCAATGTTTATTTTTGAGAGAGAGAGAGACAGAGTGTGTGCAGGGAAGGGGGAAAGAGAGAGGGAAACAGAGAATCCAAAGCAGGCTCCAGGCTCCAAGCTGTCTGCACAGCGCCAGATGCGGGACTCAAACTCACAAGCTGTGCGACCACGACCTGAGCTGAAGTTGGACACTCAATCGACTGAGCCACCCAGGCACTCCCAAATAAGCATGCTTTTTAAAGGTCAAAATCCCAAATTTCTCTCTACAGAAATTTACAAAGAATTTTTTTGTGTGCTTTACTGCATTTCTTTATATAAAGTTTGATATTAGTATATGAGGACAAAAAATACAAGAAAAAAGATAACCGTATTCATAAAACAGCACTGTTGTGAAACAGGATGCATGCAAAAGTATCCAGAAATACCTTAAAGTAGATGGGAGCCATGTCACCCACTTCCTTCGGGAGAGGAATGCACTCGTAAACCATATGGCACTGCTTCTTCATGCTCATGTTGGTTTCTAAAAAGATGCAGTCCAACCCTTTATCTCCAAACATCTTTACCAATGATTTCCTAAACATCTGAAGAAAATAAAATGATGAGGTAACTAAAAGACTTACAGAGAAAATATGGAAAACAATAAAAGGTACACTAAATCCCTTTAAAATAAAAAATAAATGGTCAACAATGTTTAGATTCCGTACTGTTACCTTACCATTACTTTACTTTCTAAATCTACTATATCATTTCACATATTTAAGCAACTTTTCTTTTTTTTTTAATTAACATTTATTTATTTTTTGAGAGTCAGAGAGAGACAGAGCACGAGCAGGGGAGGTGCAGAGAGAGGGAGACACAGAATCAGAAGCAGGCTCCAGGCTCTGAGCTGTCAGCACAGAGTCCCATGCGGGGCTCGAACCCACGAACCGTGAGATCATGACCTGAGCCGAAGTCAGTCAGCCCAAGCGACTGAGCCACCCAGGCGCCCCTAACCAACTTTTCTTTCTAAACTGAAACTTACTCTGCGGAGTTTTGTGTATATATTGGAAATGTTCCAACAGACTACAATAAGACAAGGAAGAGATAAAATCAAACTCAAGGAGTAAAATAGGCAGAACAGATGGTAAAATCAGAGGAAAATAACCACAAAACACAGAAGGTACTCCTGAAAGGTGGGTGTGGAACCCACTTCCAAGTATCTCCCTAGGCTCACAGCATCTTCATCCACTGGCTCCCACACACGTCTGCTGACCCTGCACTTGGACCTTGTATACTCAAGCATCCCCTATTTTCACGTACAATCATGTCCCACCGAGTGTATCAAAGTCAAATGTACTACGGTGGAACAGTAAGAGTGTTTTCTTTTCCCAAAGAACTCAGCGTTATTATAAAATCCCTACTTTTTATTCTTTACTACTTACTTACAGATTTATTATTTCACACCCTGAGTCCGGGAGCACAGACACACCGTCCAGACGCTCACAGGTATGCACAGGACATCCCCTGTGGTACAGGATGATGTCAGGGCTTAGAAGAAAGGGGACCAGGCTGAAGGCTGTAGCCAGAGGCTGACTCTCCCCACACCGCCAAGGTGTCTAAGAATTCGAAATTCAAACTTGGCCTTGTAGAGTGTCATATATTTAGTCTATCTTTATTAAGTGTTTGTATATTTGTCTAAGTAGGAGGAAGAAAGATTTTTTTTAATTTTTTTTTAAAGTTTATTTATTTTTGAGAGAAAGACAGAGAGTGCACAAGAGGTAGAGAGGCAGAAAGAGAATCCCAAGCAGGCTCCCCACTGTTAGCACAGAGGCCAACACCGGGCTCGATCTCATGAACCGTGACATCGTGACGTGAGCCGAAACCAAGATTCAGACACTTAACTGACTGAGCCACCCAGGAGCGCCCCCCCCCCACCTTGTTAAATTTATTTTTGAAACATTTTTTAATCTAGATTTGTCAGCTAATTTATAACTTTCAAGTATCTTAATTAAATTGTTCAGTTAGGACTATAGATCACATGTAGAAAATAGAGAGATCCCATACACCTCTACCCCGGTATCCCCCGACGGTAGTATCTTACAAAACCACAGTACAGCATCACAACCAGGATATTAACAGGGACACGGTGAAGGCACAGAGCAATCCCAACGCTCCCAGCCACACTCCCTCTCATCACATGGGCAAAACCGCCACTGTGTTCTCCATTTCTTTAATCCTACCATTTCAAGCATGTCATACAGGTGGAATCACACCACCTTTTGAGGTTCCTGGTCTTAGCTCAGCCTAACTCCCTGAGATTCAGCCAGGTTGTGGCTCAGACACTGCCTAGCGACTGCCACGTGCAGACAGCTGTTCAGCTTCCCCACTCAGCCTCCACGGACACCCCAAAAGGGCAGAAGCTCCTTATCACTGCTGCCTGGGGGGTGCGGGCCCTGGGACTCCGCCAGGCCTCCGATGATCGCTTGTCAGTAATGACTTGTCACCCTTCCGTTTTGTACTCATTTCATAAAACAAGAACAAGTAGGAAAAAAGGAAATCAAATAATTATACATTGAGATAAACTACAAGGATACCTAGTAAGCAACAGACACAGGATTTGCTTTTCATTTCTGACCAGGGCTGTAGAGAAGTTCAGCAAAGCCTCTTTTAAAGACTCCATTTGCTGTCAAAGTCTTGGCTAATAGTCTAATAATCTCATTGTCAGGTGACTTGTTAGCTAAATCATTAGAGATGACTATATAGGATTGCTTCCCCTTTAAAAATCCTCTGAATCTTGTACTTCACTTCATAAAATCAAATTAACAGTGCACACACAATTGAGGTTAAATTACGGTAAAAAATCATAAAATATAAAATACTGGTATAGGTATCTACATGGTGAAAGTGGTCATTCAAATTTTATAGTTGCCATGGCCCCAATCTGATTTCTGCAGACAACAAACCTTCCCAAGAAAAGCCATGTTCACTAAACGGTTTCATTTTCCTCTTCCTGGGCAAACAAGACTAGATTTCCCAGCCTCTCTGGGACTTAGATGGGGACATATTTAATTCTGGGCAAAGGAATGTATCTAGAAATGATAGGTGTCACTTGTGACAAGTGACTTATGTGTCCCTTGAAACAGTGAAGGGGCAGTGTGCCTTCTTGTATTCATTTTCTTCCATCCAAGGTCCTGAAAGAGGACCCCACCACAGGAGAGCCTGATGATGGAAGGAGCCTGGATACCCAATTAAATGCCTGGGGGCGATCTGCCTTGGGAACTGCCCAACCCACACTGGACCGTAACATAAGAAATTAACTTTTCCTGTCTTGAGCACTGTGAGTTCGGTTCTGTTTGCAACAGCAGTGACCACAATTCGATGGATGATTCACAGACATCGGTGCTAAGACTGACACGGCTCACGAGCCAGGAAGTGACAACCATTCATCCATTCCCACCTCTATCCTGTTGTTTTTCCCAAAAGTTACCTTCGCAGGCCTGGTAAACACTTAGAAAACAAACACACTTGCACAAAACACTTAGAAAACAAAATGGGAAAAATATACAAAGCTGGTTTTATAAGACAGTTTTTTAGACTGTCTCTATGTTGTTAACTGCTACCATTTGTGAATTTTTATTTATTATGAATATTTTCGATGAACTGTTATTTATTTCATTACCTAGTGCAGTGGTAACATAATCTTACGGGCTAGAAAAAGGAAAACATTGCTGGAGTAGAACTATGTATTTGAAAACTAAGCTTCTTTGAAGAAAGGAGAAAATGGATATAAAGCAGCAGCAGCACCGACAATGTAACATTGTCTCACAAACTTCCTTGCTTTCCTGTTGATCCACAGCCCTTTCCTGGTTTAACTGTTTCGATGCTTGTTCTAGATACTATGTGGATGACAGTGAGGAAGACAGACTCCAGAGTCATGAATTACAAATGCAAACTTAAAGGTACTAAATTAGTAGTGATGCAAGAATAGTTCACTATGATAATATAAACATCATACAAGCAGGGCACACACAAACACTGAAGTACTTCTCTCTGCATAAACAAACTGTACTTGAAAAACACGAGTTCAATGAAAGAATTGGAGGTTACCCGCTCCACTAAAGAAGGATCTTCCTGAAGCTCAGTATAACACATACAGCATATGTATTTAAATAATATTCATTAAGTTATACAACAACCAAACACTGAAGAAAGTTTTTTAGTTCATTATTATAACATACCAAAACTATTTTATGCTTCACAGAGATATAGATCCCCATATTATGGGGATTATATAACATTCCCATTTTCCTAGTAGAAAAAACTCTACCCATTGGGTAATCACTATTTTCCACATTTCTAAACTATGACTACTCACCTACATGCCATTCCTCATTTTAGTTAACACATCTAGACTAAAATTCCTTACGATATATTTAAGTAAGCTATACTAGAGTGTTGCAATTCTTAATTTGTATCAAGTCACATTATAACAATTCAGATGTATATAAGTAAAACTTTTTGAAATGAAAATTAAAGTATTATACTTGGAAATATCAAAGCTATGTAAGGTTGATCATATAATATTAATACTATAATTTATTCAGATTTTCTAAATAGAACATGTCCAAAGGTAAAGTTATCCAGAGATAAATGTTATGAGATAGAATACATATATTTAACTCTGTGCCCTCCAAGGAGTAGCCACTCAGAAATGACATTAAAGTAATTTTTAAAACAGCCCAAATTACTGGAACAAAGAGAACGAGAGAAGCCTCACTGGAAATCAGATCACTCCATAATAAGTGACTTAAACATCAGCAAGCTGGCTCATCCCTGGCAGGTGTGGCGGGAGGGGATCAGCAGGGGTAGCAGAGAAGACAGCCATCCCGCACCACAGAACCCTCACGAGGCTCAAGAACTGGTAAGCACCAAGCGGTTACAGAAGGAGAGTGAAGGTGTAGCAAAAAGCAAATGGCACAGATGGAAATCTTTTGAAAAAAGCAATTAACACGCCAATACCCTCAACACCAGCAGAACGCTGTTGCATTATTCTCTGTAGAAGGTCAACAGTAAGTTTGCTGGGCTGGCAAAACCTGACACAGCTGGAGTCTGCAAACGGGGGCATTACAGGAAATGTTACAGAGTGTTGAAATTCTGCTGCCCCAGCCTTCTTCCCCCACTCGTCTGCCAGAACAGGAGCAAACCGTCTCAGATGCACCAGGTGAGAGATGGGAAGAATTGTCTCTGGAGAGTCTGATCGCCCCCAGAAAAAGCCCTGAGGGTGCAATACTGGAGCTTTCCCAGGGAAATGGCCCCATCACACCGCTCAGCAGCAAAGCCCACTGTAGGCAATGGCCCCACCACCACACCGCTAGTTTGGGATATTTAAATAATGGATCCACGGTGTCTGACGATAACATAAGCTCAAACCTATCTGTCAAACTGATAAGAATAACTTTAAAGGGGACCAAGCTTCACTATATAGTTAATGAAACTAAAAAACCTGGCTCCTATTCATTCAAAATCTGTGATTATTCCCATATGCTGTGCTGAAACTTAGTTTTGCATTTTCTATTAAATATAAGATCCAAAATTAAATTTAAATGTTACTAGAGGATGGGGATAAACATCACTTAGAAAAAGTGGCTCCTGCATTTCCAAACATTATTTTTTCCTAAGTCAAATAATCTTTGTTAAATATTCTCTAGAAGGGGGGAATAACCATAAAGATATTTACCAGGGCGTGATTAACTTGAAGGGTTTTTTTTAAGATTTTTTATTTTTTATTTATTTTTTTTTTAATTTTTTTTTTTAACGTTTATTTATTTTTGAGACAGAGAGAGAGACAGAGCATGAACGGGGGAGAAGCAGAGAAAGAGGAAGACACAGAATCGGAAGCAGGCTCCAGGCTCTGAGCCATCAGCCCAGAGCCCGACGCGGGGCTCGAACTCACGGACCGCGAGATCGTGACCTGAGCCGAAGTCGGACGCTTAACCGACTGAGCCACCCAGGCGCCCCTAAGATTCTTTATTTTTAAGTAATCTCTATACCCAACATGGGGCTCAAACTCAAACCCCAAGATCAAGAGTCGCATGCTCTTCTGACTGAGCCAGCCAGTCAGTATTGAACTTCTGAATATATTTGAAGGTAAGAACAAAAATCCCCAAAGCTACATTTCTTTAAATAAGCTAGAATTCAAATACTTTATTTGCTCACTGTCTTATACTAATTTACAACTTGTAACAACTAATTCTCTTATCACACAAAAAGCCATAATGCTATTCTCTGTGTAAGATAACTTGGCTTTCCTCCCTCATTCAATTTTCCATAGTGCATACGGCTCCCAAATCCACTGAAGTGCAATATAACCTGTACGAAAATACACCACACCTACGGGCAGAATTAATGATTTTATCTCTGCATTTCTCAGGACACCGGGATTATCGACATTCATGTCCTCAGTATCTACTGAATGAATACATTTCTTCTTTATCCACCTCAATGTTTTCCATCAAGTGGCTTAATTTCTTACAGAAATATAAAACACACAGACTAGATTCCTGTATTACTTAAAATCTTTTTGGCACTGTAGTTTGCTCTAAGTTAAATCAGTTTTGCATGCATAAATTTTTAAAAAGACATTCCAGAAAAGTCTCAAAATAATTCTGAAAACCAAATTTGCATACTTCCACTTTAAATTATTTACTGCACTGGCATCTACTACTAGAAAAAATTTTTTTCCCACATCAAGTGTATTTGTCCACATTCTTACCCATGCCTGGCCACAGATGTATGGTAACAGTCTGCCCTTTACTTTCACAGCACAAACGTAAAGATTACAAGGAGTAAGAGACTGAATTTCACAATGTGTGGTCAAAATATCTCCTCTTTGGCATCTTTACCAACATGATGCAAAGACCAGTACATAGTGTCTTTTACAGTCTTACAATTTTCACATTTTCTAACTAGGGGTCCCTGTAAGCCCTATTCAACTGTCAAGTATTAGAAAAATGAAGAGTTTTATTTTTTTATTTTTTGGTCATTATGAGGTCTTGAAATAATTCAGCAGCAATTTCACCCATGTCGTGCCTTCCAGTTTCTTGCAGAATCAGCCACAAAAAGAAGGGGAGGGGAAGGGAGGGGAAGGGAGGGGAGGGGAGGGAAGAAAAATCCTGAATCTAAAAGTTGGGCCAGGTAATAAAGGGAAAAGTATAAAAGTAAAGGCTGATAGCAAAATCACAGCAGCAGAGACCAATTCCATTACAGGAAATATGGCAAATGCTGAATATGAACCTCTGGCTTCCAAAATTTATTTTTTATTATCTGAAAATCTCTTTTCTTTTATTACCTTACTTTGTCAAGAATGGCTATCTCCTGCTCCACAAAAGTAGAGATTAGAAATCTTACACTGATTTTTTAAGTAAAAATACTTATTACTGTGTCACAGTTTGTTTAGTACACAAAAGCTTTCAGTTGTACACCTGAAACTAGTAAGGCTATACATCAATTATATCTCAGTAAAAAATTAAAAAAAAAAAACCTTCAAAACAGGGAGTACATAAGGGAAATAAACTAAAAAGGGAGTGAGTGGTGAAAACATGATCTGGAGATGTACACAACTAGGGAAATGTATACAAATGTGTAAGTTCAGAAAGCAAAATCACTGGACAAAGGTGATAAAGAAACCCACTGGCAATTACTTTGTAAAAACTGCTCCTGCGCATTACAACGATGAGATTACCATGCTGACCTGAACTTCCTCCCAGATGTCTTCGTCCAGTAAGGTGGAAGCCCTGTGGTGTTGCAAAGGGACTATCAGGCAGTGTCCCTCAGTAAGAGATCGGACGTTGGGTAAACATAAATAAACCTATGGGGAAAAAGTTGCAAAGAGAAATGTTACCGTATTTATTCTCAGTTGCGACCAATGAGCCATGGGAAACATGGCTGACACCTAATAAAGCACACTTGTTTACAAGCAATATATTTTATTTTAATGTTTTTAAAGATAGCTGATATTTTCAAAATACTTTTAAAAGCCATGAAGGCAGATTCTAATAAAATGGAAATTTACAGCACAAGTCTCAATTTTAACTGTTCTATGTATTTCAGAGATTGAGCATACCCAAGGGCAAAATGAATGACACACTTTATCCTTGATCTGAGAAAGTTATATGCTTTCAAAGCCCTTGAAACAACACAATTTGGGGCAAGAATGAAAAGATATATGGCTTGGTAATGAAAGAGAAGTCTAACTGGTGCCTATCAATCACGTTTTCCTTATCATACTGCCTAAGCAAAGAGAATTAACCCAAGTAACAGAGAAAGGAAATGTTCTCTGTATGGTTTTACTGTTCTGCTTAAGTTCCATCTGTTTAAATACATGTGTTACCTACAAACTGGTGCTATTTTTCCACTATATACAACTGTCTTAAAAAAGAAAAAAAGTCAATTAGCCTATATATAGTGAGCAAAGAGTGCTCATGAGGAACATTAAAAATATTCTGCAAAGGGGCTCACTCTTATTTTCTACTATTTTTTGTTAGGTTTTAGATAGAAGTATTTTGTATGGCAGACAATATTATTTCACAAAATAATGCAAACTTTTTAAAACTCTGCTCAAAGAGGACAAAGAAGGAATGGATATGGAAATTTACCTAAGTTTATAGTAAGATCATAACCATATTCAAAATATTTTTAAAAATAACATCAGTACTGATTCATTAATTGTAACAAATTTACAACTTGTAAATTTGCTTACTAATGGCAGGTGTTAGTAAGAGAAGACACTGGATACAGCGTATATGGAACTGTCTTCTTAATTTTTCTGTAAATCTAAAACTGTTCTAAAAAAGAAACAAAGTCTATTTTTTAAAAAAAAGTAAGGGCGCCTGGGTGGCGCAGTCGGTTAACCGTCCGACTTCAGCCAGGTCACGATCTCGTGGTCCGTGAGTTCGAGCCCCGCGTCGGGCTCTGGGCTGATGGCTCAGAGCCTGGAGCCTGTTTCCGATTCTGTGTCTCCCTCTCTCTCTGCCCCTCCCCCGTTCATGCTCTGTCTCTCTCTGTCCCAAAAATAAATAAACGTTGAAAAAAAAAAATTTAAAAAAAAAAAAAAAAGTAAAGCACAGTGTTAAGACGAGGGAGACAGATAACTTTTATTTTTAAAAAAAGGAGGAAGAAAGCACGAAAAGCTGACAATCAGAAGTTATTTAACTCTGTGATTCTAATGAGTATTAATATAGTTTCATTAATACATTTGGATTTAAAACATTCACTTTAAATATTAGAAATTCAAGCTGAGTGAGAATTACTGAATTGCTGTGGAATGTGACTTATCATTTCCACTGAATGGCAAAATAATTCCTCAGAAACTCAAAACCATCTAAGATTAACCTAGGTAATAACTGAAAGGAGTAATTTCTTCTTGTTTATTCAGATTAATTAAATGGCCTGTTAGCTACAGCGGATGGGATAGGTAGTCAGATGACGGATAAGGTTCCTTCTAATCAATATTTCAAATATTTCTGTATTAACATAGTCACAGCCGAAAGGCTGGAGGTAGATGGTAGTTTTTAGAGCATATAACGCACAGATGCAGAAAGGAGAGACTCCAGTGGTTTTTTTAAGTTAAACTAGAATGAAAAGACTGAGTCCCAAAGGGAGGAAACAGGTAAGCCAACTCTCAGGAAGTGAAAGGCAAAAAGAATTTAATACCATGAGGAAAGACTAGTTGGAAAGGGTGGATTACCTGACAGCGGAAGAGGACCACCGACAAGAACAGGGAAAGACGTGTATGACAAATAGGAAAGGTGGAAGATAAGAACCAGAAAGTGTCTGTTCACAGGCCAGCAGTTCACTTTCATGAGTGAACTGAGAAATGCCTCCTTGGGGAAGCAGCCTACAAGGCAGGAGGTGAACAGAAGGTCTGTGTCCCCTGAGCCCAGCCTGCCTCCAGTGCACTGGGGAAAACAAAAAACCCCAATGAAAATTCTCCAAACTTCTAAAGCACAGCAGGAAAAATTTACTTTGTTTAATTTGCTCTTACGTGTTTAAAAGGGAGGGATCGGACTGAAGAGGAATGAAATATTTATAATGTCATAACTAGAAAAATGTAAATGTTTATAAAAGTCTGGAAAAGAATTCAGATAAATTGATACAAGTAATTGGTTATGGTGGGGGTTTTTTTAATTGAATAAATTTTATTTTTTTAATTGAATAAATTTTAAATGGAACTTTTACATTAACCTTTTTGATAGTTTGGAAGGGGGAAAAAAGAAGAGTGAAGAAATAAAGTTAAAGAAACCCTAACGTGAACTGATAAGTTGACTGTCTTAACAACAACCTAAAGATACTAAAGGCTAGAGTCGGAACGGAAAAGCCCACACCAGTTCTCTGGACACACAGGTGTGTGTGGAGGGGGGCGGGACATACACAAGAAACAAAAAACTAGCAAATAAACACGTATATGCACAGTCCCTGAACTATGAGTTCCTGAACTAGCATGGCACTCATTCATTCCTCTCCTCTCCTTTTCTCACTCCCTCTGCCCTGGGCCACACTCTGCTCCACGAACCAGCTCTTTCCTCCTCATGGCTCTTCACCTGCTGACACCCCTTCCTGAAATATCAGTCATTCACATCCTCATGTTGCTTGCTCCTTCCATCTTTCATACCTTCCCTAAAATACCTCCTTACAGGGGGCCTTCCAGATCACCTTCTCAAAAAATACTCTCCCATCATTTTGTCCCGTTCCCTTGCTCTATTTGCTTTCTGACAACACTTTCTTCAATCAGGGCAATTATTACTTTATTTTCTGCCTTATTTTACTAGAATACAAGCTCCACAAGTACTTCTGATTCTGAGTCTACTTTTCTCTAGAAACTAATTACGGTCTGGTGTATGTCGGGTACACAATAATTAATCAATACAAGAATTAACTCACTGAATATTTATTGAAATAAGTGACAATTATCAGTAATTAAGCAATCATTAATATTTATTAAAATAAGTGACTGCGAACATACACTCTTGATATACAATGGGATATATGTTTGGTCAACAAAGGAATTCATGCTTGGTGCACAATGATGAATGAGAGTTATCTAGGTGCTCACAGAACTTACAGCCTATCAGAAGAGGGACTTAATACACAAGTAAAATAAGGTAAAAATTTTCAAATTATCAGATATTCTAAGAAGAAACAAATAGGTTCTATGAGAAAGTAAGGGAAGAAGCAGCAACTGCTTTAGACGGAGTATTTCTGAAGTGACTTGAATACTAAGAATCAAGTGCCAACCATGAAAATGCGGTCCCACGACTGGCCAATGCCAGGGCCAGAACCTGGGTTCAGGCAGTTGGGCTCCCAAGTTCAGGCCCAGTGCTGCTCCTCTAAAGAGGAGAATCATACAAAATGTGAGCTTCAAGTCACCTAAATTTTTATGCTGCTCTAGCGAAGAGTCTAAGAATCACGGGAAGTCAGAAAAGAAAACTATTTGCAACACAGAGTAAGAGAAGACCAGACATGTTAGAATCCTGTAAGGGTCTGAAGAAAGAGACAAATCTGGACACAGCACTACGTCACTTCCTCGGGGCCATGAGTGTGGTATTTCTTACCTTAACACCTATTGCAACAATAAGGTGCTTGGGAAACTGAGAGCTGTCAAAACAGTAGGGACATTTTTCCATTCGGGCAGCGAGACTCTGATGCTCGGCAATGGCTTTTTTCCTCTGGTTTTCTTCCTCTGCAACGAAACGTTCTCTCTCAGCTGCTTTGGAGACAAACATGTCATCTAGGGTATAATAGTCTCCATCTGTTTTTCCCATAAACTGAAAAACCAAAATAACAGTAGTGGGGAGAAGGGAGGTGGTTAACGTTTTATTGTATTGCAGCTACCAAAGACATATCTGTAAGTTCCATGGTATAACTTTTAAATTTAAAAAAAGAAGAAGAAAAACGTGATTAAACATTTAAGTTTGATTTTCAAGTCAACCAATCAATCATCATCATCATCATCATCACAGCTGAAGTTGACTGAGTATTTACCATGTACAATTTTATGCAATTTGTTTTATGCTCCTGTGAGAATGAGACCATCATCATTTCCATTTACCGGATCAGGAAACTGAACCACAGAGAGGTTAAGAACTACTTTCATTTTAAAATTAGCATACGCTCCATAGAGAACATAAACATTTTTCAACTGTTCTCTCCAGGCAGCTTCTCCCCATCTCCCCCAACATAAACTGTAGCCAGGTGGATGCTTTTAAAACACAAATTTTACTTACTTATTTTATTTATGTCCCTGCTTAAAATCCTCAGAGAACTCCACATTGTGAACAGGATCAAGTTCAAACTCTGGTTTGCCTACTACATCATAGACACAGATAGAATGACCCTGGCAGGGGCGCCTGGGTGGCTCAGTCGGTTAAGCGGCCGACTTCAGCTCAGGTCACGATCTCACGGTCCGTGAGTTCAAGCCCCGCGTCGGGCTCTGAGCTGGTGGCTCAGAGCCTGGAGCCTGCTTCCGATTCTGTGTCTCCCTCTCTCTCTGCCCCTCCCCCGTTCATGCTCTGTCTCTGTCTCAAAAATAAATAAAACATTAAAAAAAAAAAAAAAAAAGAATGACCCTGGCAAAGTTCTGTCTCCTGTCTGTAGAGCCTTGGGCAAGTTACTTAATCTCTCTGTGCTCTCCGCACACTTTATTTCCTCATTTCACAACGGTTGTAACAATACTATCTACCGAACAGGGTTATCTTGCTTAATCCTCTCAACGCGTGCCTGACACACAATAAGGACTCACAAATGTGGGCCCCCATTATTATTACAATTTTCTTCATAATCTGGCATTGATGACCTTTCCAGTCACATCTGATCACACCCTTACTTGAACTTTATGCTCTGGTCTTCCTGTTTTCAACCCAAAAGTACTGTTACCTTCAGGCTTTGCACATACTGCTCTCTGACCAATTTCTGCCTTCAGTTTAGCCATTTGCTACTCCTTTTCCAATCTGGGCTTAGATTTAGCTGTCACCTCCACAAAAGAACATCCCTGGATCTCCCAAGACCCTCTAGTACTGCACTCCTATCAGTTTCATGACCACACTGTATCATAATTGCTCACTAACTTCTGTTTTTCTCTCATTAGGCTAAGTTCAAAGTTCTATTTAGTCTACTAAGTACCCATCAAATACAAAGCAATAGCAGGATGCTTGGATCTTATCCGACAGTTAAAAAGATTTGAAGACAGCTAGAATGGCTGCATTTATGTCAGAGAAAGTAGAATTCAAAGCAAAGAAATGAAGGACACAAAAGATCATTTCATAAGGATAAAGGGGTCATACCATCAAGAGGAATAACAATAGCAAAATTTATGCACCTAATTACAGAGTTTCAAAATACATGAAGCCAAAACTTGACAGAACTGCAGAAAACTACGCGTCCACAACTGTAGTCAGAGAATTAAACACATTCTCCCAATAACTGATGGAACAAGGAGAAAATCAACAGGCACACAAGACTTGAACAAACTATCCAAAACTCTGACCTAACTGACATCGACAGAAATTCTATCTAACATCTGCAAAATAAACATTCTTCTCAAGTGCACAAAGAACATTTGCCAAGATAGAGGGCATTCTTAGTTATAGCACAATTCCTAATAAATTTAAAAGGATTCAGGTAACGTAAAGTATGTGCCCTGAACACAATGGAATTAAACTAGAAATCCCAGCAGAAATACATTTGGAAAATTGCCAAGTACTTGGAAATTAAATAGCCCAGTTCCAAATAACACATGTATTAAAGGAAGGAAGGAAGGAAGGAAGGAAGGAAGGAAGGAAGGAAGGAAGGAAGGAAGGAAGGAAGGAAAAATCAGAAAGTATTTTGAACTGCCATTTAAAAAAAATGAGAATTTGTGGGATGGTGCTAAAGCAGTACTTAAAGTGATAATTACAGCACCAAACACCTATATCGGAAGACAAAAAAAGAAAGAAAAAAGAAGAAAGGCCTCATGCGAATTAATGATGTCAACATCCACCTTAAGAAATTTAAAAAAAGAATAGAAAAGAGAACAGAATGTAAACAGAAGAAGATTTCTAAGATGTCATCATTGATAGAACTAGGTAAAAATCAGAAACCAGGTACTAATTATTAGTAATAAGGTATCTGAGCACAATAGTTTCCTTTTCTATACTAGAATTTATTTTTTATCTTCTACTTTTTCTCCATTATTGATCCTTGTTTATACCTCTCTATTGTGTCAACTTTGTCTATTTATGTGAACTGCCCTGACTTACAAATTATTATTTTAACTTCAGACCTTTATCTCGACCATAACATATAACATTTAAAAATATCACAACTAGTCACTAATTATTTTCGTTATAGTGACCAACTATGTGCTAGGTACTAATAGAGACCTTAAGTACTCTCTCATCCAAATATCCCTACAACATAGGAATGAATTGTCACTGTCACTTGTTAGATTACAATACAAAGCTTAAGGTGCCTGCGTGGCTCAGTCGGTGGAGCACCCGGCTTGGGCTCAGGTCATGGTCTCATGCTTCATGAGTTTGAGCCCCGTACTGGGCTCGCTGCTGTCAGCATGGAGCCAGTTTTGGGTCCTTTGTCCCCTTCTCTCTCTGCCGCTCCCCCATTTGTGCTCTCTCTCTCAAAAATAAATAAACATTAAAAAAAAAAAAA